ACCATTTTCACATCCCTGCCTTCACCCAAGAGCCAGTATCGCAGTGATGGCTCCAGAGCTGTCTTTTTTTAAGGCAAAACTTCTCTTCCTCCTAGCATGGAAAATGGTCTTTGGTCTGCTGACCTGCCTGGTGAATCTTGGTGCTTTGGAGTGGGAACTGGCCCCTTGTTCTGTATCATGTGGAACAGAGGCTGCTCCTGGGGCAGTAAAAAAGGATGTAAGGAAGCACGGGAATTTCTGAAAGCACCAGTGAACTTAAAGCCTTAAGTTCAAGGAGAGGAGTTGTACCTGCTCAAACCCCAATATTGGTCATTTCAACTCTGCACGTTTTTTCTGAATCAGGAGAAATGATACCCACTAGACACAAAGAATAGTGTGGCTGAATGTTCTCAGACAGAAGCATGAAATCATCTTTATTTCCTGGTTGTTGCCCTTGTATGCACAATTAAACCAGGGAAATTCAAGCGGCTATCCTGGAACCCTGGAATGGTTTGGCTGGGAAGGGCCCTTGGTTTTGCTGGGAAGGGACCTTCAAAGATCCTGTAGTTCCAGCTCCCTCTGTCTGAGTGCTGGGGGTATCCAGTTCCCTCGTGCACACTTGCATGTAGGAAGTGCAGGCAGAGCCTGTGTCTCATCTGTGGGTGGACTTGGACCAGCACTCCATCGATAGCATGGACATACCCACACTGATCTGTGCCCAGGTCCCACCTCAGCTGCTCCTGGTGTGGTGGTGGAGCCTGCAGCAGAGTGATCTTGCTCAGACAGTGCTCACTGCAGCCCGTGGTGCTTTTTTTCCAGGTGCTGCCATCCACTGCTGTGGAGCCTCAGAGCCTGGAGACCATGAAGGGATTGAGGCGGTTCACAGGGGTGGAGAACCTTGCCTTGGGAATGGAAGAGGTAAGTGGGAATCTGTCTCGCTTCCATCTTTCCAGTGTGGAAAGCAGTTCTGTAGCCCCCGCTCCCACTGGCATTGCCCACAGAGGGGTCTCAGTCCTTGCAAGCCCATCACAAAATGCTGCTGGAGCAACTGGTCACTGGAGAGGCCATGTGGGACGTGTTGTAGGGCTGCCCAAGGATGCTCCCAGTGCAGCACCTGGGGAGGGCATTGCTCCCCTTGTACCTCATCGGGTCGTTGATTGGAAATTTTTGCAGGAGCTTTTGCTGTAGCACCTTGAGGGAGCAGCACGTAAATCAGAGAGAGAGGGAAAAGCCTCAGGAGTCAGATGAGCCGAGCTGGAGTTCTCCCCCCAGCTCCAAGGGCTTTCACCTCCAAGTCTCCTGTTTTTCTGGAGGCAGTAAAATTGTTTTCAAAGGCAAGTTCTGCAGTGGAGAGAATATCTTACTGCCAGGAGACATCCTAATTTACTTTAATGTTGTGTATTAATTAATGCATTGATCAGCGAGTATGGAAGAAGATTTCCCCTATGGTCCCTCCACTGGTCAGTGACACAGATGCAGGGTGAGATCAGGATGATTCTGGCTGTGTTGGAGAAAGAGCCCCTCCAGTTACCTCTGTACTTCGCTCCAACCCACGAGTGCTCTTCTGCACCCATTTCCATGCTCAGCATCTCGATCCCTCCTCCCCTCCTGCAGGTTTTTGATGTCCAGCCGGTGTCCGGTGTGCTGCAGCCGGGCAAGAGCCAGCAGGTGCTCTTCACCTTCTTTGGCCACCCCAACATCGCCGCCCGTGTCACGGCGCTGTGCCACGTGGAGGGAGGCCCCACCTACGAGGTGGAGCTGAGTGGGGAGGCTTCGGACCTCAGCTACCACCTGGACACCTACGACATCGACTTTGGGCTGCAGGTACCACCCCCTTCTCCTGGCAGAGCTGCTGCCTTGGAACCATCACCACTGGGTTGCTGCCCACCCCAGCCCAGGGCTCTCTCCCCTTCCCAGCTCCTTTGTTGGCTCTGGGCCCTGGAAAGGACAACCTTTAAGGGATACATCCACCATCCAAGCTGGTTGTCATGGCCATCTTCACCTCACACACACACACACCCACCACCAATGCTGGGAATTCCTCCTCTTTGAGGGATCTAACACTGCCTCCTGGGGCAGGCAGGATCCCAGTTGGGATGTTCAGAGGGACATGTCCCTGAGACATCCCTCTGCTGATCTGCTTCTAAAGCTTGAGCTCCAAGGGGATGCTCTCCTCTAATGCTCTTGCTTAATCTACAAAATAATCCAGGAAGGAAGTTGGGCTTCCAGTCACTGTAGCTGGAGAGAATGTCCCAGAATAATCCTCATTTTACTTCTTTTCAGTTAAAAGCCCACAGATATTTCCAGCTGCTGGCCCTGTCTGTGTTGCCCCTGTGTGTCTCCCTTTTTTCCTGTCAATGTATTTGCTTGCCAATACTTGCATGCAGGTGCCTTTTCCTCTGGAACGCCTCGATGCCTCCTCCATTGTTTCACCAGGCTGTTTGGTGACCCCTCAGAGTAAAGAGGGCCCTGGTTCATTTATTACTGGCCCTTACATGGTTAATACCACATCTCTGCGTGCTGCCAGAACTCCCTGCTCCTGTGCAGGGCTAAGAGGTGCCCTGTGCCTGATCCAGGCTGACCTGGGATGGTCAAGTGCCTGTATCTCCTCCCCAGTCCTTGCTCTTGCGTTGTGGCTGTTTGCTTCCAACCCCATGAATGAGGAAGGAGATTCCCAGCAGCACGTTGGTATCTGTAACTTCCCACTCCTCTGTCTTCTCTCCAGATGTTTAATGAAGTCATCCAAGCAGAGGTCACCCTGCAGAACACTGGGGTGATTGGATTCACCTACGAGGTGCAAGACCCCAGCACTGCCAGGGCAGACAGCCCTCTGCCTGGTGAGCCCGTGGTCGTGCCCAGCACGGTGAGTAGCACGAGTGGTTGGCCCCAGCCCTGTGTCAGGTGGCCCAGGAGAGGGTTAAAGTGAAAAAAAATGTAAAAAACCAACCAGACCCAGCCTTGAGAGGCAGGGCTGAAAGCAATTGCTGCTGGGGTTAGAGAAGGTCAAGCAAGTGCTCTCCTAATAGACTCCCCCGTGGCCTTGGCCAGTGGGTGCCACTAGTGGGAGGCACAAGCACATCAATCACTCCTTGGACCAGGACTGCTGAGCTCTCTGGGTGTGCTGGCACTGGAGCTGGGTGGTGCCAGCTCTTCTGAGGGTCACCTCACCCAGGCTGTGTGATCAGACAGGACTTACTCCTTGTCCCTGCTTCCTCCCTGCCAGCACTATGCAGCAATTTACATATTCCTTGCTTTGGCTTGAAGCTCCTTTGCCAGAAGTTCTCACAGCCCCTGTGCTGGTCCCTCACTCCCTCCAGCTTTGCTGCTCTGCAGCAGCTCTTTGGGGCAGTGAGGGGCCCAGGGAGGAGTGGGGCTGGAAGAGCAAGGAGAGGAGTTTGCAGCATCCCACCATCCCAGCTTCTCCGTCGTGCCTGGATGCCTTTGAGCTTAAGCAGTGTTCCTGCTGTCTTTGACCCTCTTTGGAATAAGAGGTGAAAGCCAAATCGCTTTCTCATTATTTCCTGCCTGTCTCCTCCAAGGGATGGCACGCTGATGCCCCCTTCCTGCCAGCATCCGAAGACACAGCTCAGAGTGGCCCCGTGCAGGCAGCTGCCGCAGCAGCACCCTGGGTGCTGGCAGCTTGGCAGGGCTCCCCGGGGCTGCAGCCCTGTTGGGTGCTGGAGCAAGAGCTCGGGGGACTGAGAGGCAGGATCTGTCCCGCTCAGCTGCTTCTCCCAGCAGTGGGAATGGGACTGGGGAGCCGTCCAGCCCAGCGTGCAGGGGTGAGCCAAGGAAAGCTGCAGCTCTGTCCTGTCACCCAGAGATGGGTTTGCCCTCAACCTGGCTGGTGTGAGCCCAGCCTGGGGCTTGGACAGCCCTTTTGGAAGACCAGAGAGGAGGTGCCTTCCTGGCATCACCCTCTTCCCTAGATCTCATCCTAGTCTCTCCTCCTGTGCTTCCAGAGATATAGGTTTGCAGGTCACTGTGAGTCTGGATACGCTCATGCACCCTCTATGTAACCCCAAAGGCATGAGGTGTTTTTGTCAGGTTCATTAATAAGGGGTCAGGCCCTTTGACACCAGCCTGGAACCACTGATGTGCTGTGACAGGAGCTGCTGGCCCTGCTGAGTGCAGGCAACTTCACTCCTCTTCCACAGTGCCTGGCAAAAGAGCTTTCACTTGTTGAGCCTGGCCCTTGCTGGCAGAGGGCAAACCCCATTAGCAGCAGAGCTGTGAGCACAGGGCAGGCTCTGCTGGGGGTGCAGCCTTAGGAGCCCTCAGAAGGACACACTGCACCCTTGGGTTGGAGGCTCAAGCTTTTGGGTACGAGGAAGTTAGAAGGTGATGTGGTCTGATGTTTTCTTCCAGATGCAACCCTGTCTTCTCAGCCTGTCTGTCACCTGAGCCATCCCCCATCAAACCCTGTTTGATGCATTCCTTCCCTCTCTCCTCCCATCCCCTGCAGGAATACATTGAACCTGGCAAGGAGCAAGTGCTGAAAGTCTATTACCTGCCAGGAGTAGTAGGAGTCTTCTGCAGCACTCTCCAGATCCAAGTGGGTCACCTGAAATCAGCAGAAATCTCCCTGAAAGGAGAGGGGACCTTTCTTAGGATCTCTTTGGACCTGCCCTGGATTGTCAAAGGTGAGCACTGCCTGTCAGCTCCTAGGAAGGCCTCCTGGTTTTTTCCCCCTTTTTTTCCCCTGTAGGGCAGCACACACCCATCTCCACTAAGCCTGGAGGTTGCAAGGCTGCCAGACCAACACTCGCCCCTCTGGTTGCTTCCTGACTCTTGAGCAGAGTAGCCCATGTAGGCTTTGTCCCAGTAACCATCCTGCAGATCTTGCCAGCACATCTGTCAGAGGCCTGGAAAGATGATGGCTAGACAGAAAACCTTGGGAAAACTAAAAGAGACTGGCAGGGCTTTTGGCAGGGTTGAATTTGCATGATATTTCAGGGGATGAGATGCTCCTCTGTGAGGAGGATGATGGCTGAGAGTGAACATGAGGATTTAGAGAGGAGCAGCAGCATCCACTTTCCATAGATGGCTTGAGGGGTTTGTTTCTGGGAGAGGCCAGTGTTGGGGAAGTGGGAC